CTCCAGCTGGAGGTCTACACTCATTTGGTCCAGGTCTGAGGTGGGTGTAAAGTTGCGCAGTGGGATCTGCTCCTCTTCACGCTGATATAGAAACTGCAGCAGCTTCAGGCTCCAGGTGAGGTACCTGTGTGAGAAGCAAGGAGTCACCGCCAGAAGGGAACCACGGCGTCCTGCATCTCCCTGTCCCTGACTGTCTGGCACAGACAACGACAGCAGCCAGTGCCCAGCTGCTGCCCAGCCCAATGCTTCCGTCCCAGCAGGAGATGATCCCACCAGGCTGTCCCACTGCAGAGCCAGCTCACCCACCTTCCCTCTTCTCAAACAGCCTGACACCAGGCCACGCTCAGTCCTTCCCACCAAGGTGGACCCCAAGACTCACTCTCAGCAGTCTGGTGGGGCGGGGTACAAGCAGGGAATGGCACGGGTGTCCCCAATCCGTGTCCCCAGCACTGATTAGGGTTAGGACAGCCTCCCCCTCTGCCTGCCCCCTCACCTCTTCTGGCTGTTCACAGACAGCACCACACTGGTGTTCTCCAGCTTCACCTCCACCTTCCTGGGGATGAGCTGTAGCGTGTCCCTGCTCAGCAGAGATAGGGATTTCGGGGTCTGCCGCAGGCCTGGGGGAGCACACACAGGGTCACAGCAAGGCTCTTGCCCAGACCCCCACTCTCCGCAGAGGGAGGCAGTGATAGCACAGCCAGATCCCGCTGACTGCAAGGGAAGTTTGGGGACTGCCAGCCCACATCCTGCCCAGAACCTGTCCCTGTGCCTGTCCCTGACCTGGGCTAGGCTGCTCCCCCATGCTGCCGTGCCAGGTCCCGGCAGTCACCCGCTGCAGCAGCTGGCTGTAGAAGAGCCCTTCATGCAGCTCCGCCTGCAGGGTCCGGACACGCAGCCTGACACCCACCAGCCGCCGCTTGACACTGATCTCCAGTGAGAGGGAGAGCGCCAGGGCCACCTCCGCCAGGCATGTGTCATCCTGTACAGGCACAGGGGCAAAGACTGCACGGGGAGTCTCCCATCCTCACTGCTGCTGAACGCTGCAGGCGAAGCCCTGGGCACACCGAGAAGCTGAGCGCCTCGCAGCAGGGTGCTCTGCAGGGCGCCAGGAAGCCCACGTTTGGCGTTGCCTGGCCTCAGGGATGGGCTACACTGGAACAAGTCCTCCTGAGCCTGTGCTCAGTTCCAAAGCGTTGCATTTCTCCCCTCCACAGTACTCACCAGCTGGCTGCTCCGTAGCACTTTGCTGTTCACCTTTGTCAGGCTCACCTCACAGTTCAAGCTGGGGAGACCACAAAACACACCAAGGTTGCAGGCCCTACTGCCTCCAAATCAAACACCTTCCCTTCCCATTTTGTGGGGCACAAGGATCCCACATCCCTGCTCCAAGTCCTCCCAAAAGCAGAGCAGACCCTAACTCCACCCATAGCAGAACAACTCATAATTTGGAGGACAAATGACTAGCTTGGCCTAGCATCACGAAGGGAAGAAGGACCACGCCAGCCTCTGAGGAGGAGGCTGGTCTGTCGTGCCATGGGTGGCCGTGGGAAGCTGCCGAGCAGGACAGAGCAAGGAGAAGAGTGGAGCCTGGCCAGCTGGGGTCAGAGGGAACCCTGCCTCCCAGCCCTGCAGGGAAATAGGGCTGTGCTGGGGGAGCAAGCACAGCGTTACCTCTTCCCATCACCATCCAGGAGGAGACGCGTCTTGCTGGCCCGAATGTGCCAGAGAGACTCAGAGGTGGCCACATGTAGAACCATGATATTGATGGAGTCCACATGGATGGAGAAGAGCTGGGGGAAAGGTGGTACTGTGAGGGCTGTGACACAGCAGTGCAGCCTACAACACCCTCTCAGGGAGCTAGGGCCTCACCTGGCTAAGGACCCTCAGCAAGGAGGGCTTAAGAGTCAGGTCTCCCCTGCTGTCCTCTCCATCAGCCTCTTTAGGAGCCTCCGGGAAGGAAGGCTGGAAAGCAGGACCCTTCTGGAGATCTGTGCGGATTCGCACCTCACCAAAACACAGTTCAAAATAGCGCCTGTGGAAGAATAGCAAGAGCTGTCACAAGAGCTTGCACATTGCACACCTGGCCCCATCACCTGGGTGCTCCCCGCCCCAGGGACGCGCAGGGGCAGCACAAGAGCATCTGCGCAATGCTGCCACGCCAGGAGACAGCGAATGGCTCCTGCACAGTGCAGAACCTAGGGAAACGGGCTCTGCAGGAAGGCACTAAGGCCTAACTCCAGTCAGCGAGGCCAGGGATGAGGCAGACCCCCAAGCAAAGCCAAGAGAGCAGAGAAGTGGCTAGGGCAGAGGTACGTACGGCAGCTCCCGGCTCAGTTTACTGGAAATCCAGATGCTGTCAATCTCCTGCAAGGACACACAGGCAGGTCAGGAGAGCGACAGCCCGGCACTGCGCTGTGATGTTCACCCCAATGCTCCTGCTCCACCCTCAACACCCAGCACTGCTCGGGGTGTGCTGGGGAGCAGCCAAAGACCCCTGAGCTCAGCTGGGGGAGGAAGGGGCTGGCACCAGCTATGGGGCTCCGCAACAAGAGATGGGCTGGAGGGATTCGCTCCCAGGTCTAAAAGTGACGAGAGCCATCCTGCTGCCCTTGTCCTCCCACAACTTGCTGGGGCGAGCCGATCACCATCACCCCAGTACCCACCACGGTCTGCTGCTCCCGCTGGAACTTGAGACTAATGTTCTGGGCCCAGAAGAAGCCAAAGGAGCCAATCTTCAGCTCCGCCTGCAGCTTCTGGCGGCACCAGGTGACGACCAGGCGACATGCCAGCCACCTGCGGGGACACAGGGAGGGCCGCGGTCCAGCTCCCGGCATGGAGCCCTGCTCGGGGCCAGGTGTGACAGGCCCCGTTTGCCCTCCGAATATGAGCTCAGGGGCCTCCCAATATCCCCTATCCTTGACACCTCCCACCAAGCCCTACATCCCCTCACCTTGACCCCTGTGAGCCCCTCCAAAACCTTGATACCCCACACCCAACCCTGGGCCCCTCCTTGACCCCCCACACTCCTGATACTCCCCAACGCTCAGCCCTGGGGGCCCTCACACACCTCTGGCACCCCACACACAGCCCTGGGGACCCCTCTTGACCTCCGTGTGTTCCCCATATCCTGGACACCTCCACACTGAGCCCTGGTGGCTCTCCAAATCCCTGTGTGCTCCCCCCAACACGCTTGCCACTCCACAGCTCCTGAGGACCCTCCTTGACCTTCATGGGCACCCCCAAACCACTGACACCCTCTAGCCAAGCCTAGGGTCCCCCCAAACTCCCAGGAACACCCCTCAAACATACACCGACACGCCACACCCAGTCCTGTGATGTTCTCCCAAGCCCCCATGGGTCCCCACCCAGCCCTGGCATCCCTCAAATGCCCTCTACATCCAGCCCCGGGGGGGCTCCCCCACACTCCTGCCAATCCTGACCCAACCCTGTGGGCCCCCCCAAATGTCTGCTACCCCCCGACCCTGTGGGCCCTGAGGGTCTCCCCAACATCCCCCACAACACCCTTGAGACTCTCTACCCACCCTAGGGCCCTCCCAAATCCCCTCAAGGCTGTACACACACCTTCACATCCCACTAACAAGCCCTAGGATCCCCCAAACCTCCCTGAGCCCCTTCTACACCCTGACATCCCAAACCCAGCCCCAGGGTCCCACAAATGTCTAGGAGCCCCCACACACACCCTGATCTCTCCACACGCAGCCCTAGGGCCCCCCCAACTGTCCAGGAGCCCCTTCCCACTCATGACACCC